TCTTTCTCTGCTCCTCCCCTGCTTGTGCTCTGTCTCTCTCTCTCACAAATAAATAAACATGAAAATCAGAAATAAATTCTTTGAAATTAAGAATTACCCAGAGAAACGAATACAATCCTAACATGTTTTCTTAAGTTATATCCAAAGGAAATCAAAACCACCCACATGTCAAATGTAGGTTTCATTCACAAAACATCAATGTAATAGTTTTGGTATAATATTTTTTTGAAAAGAGCTAAGCAATTTTGATGGCTATTTTAGCCATTTTAAAAAATGGATGTCTTTTTTCAAGCAGTAAGCTAATCAACTGAATAACTTACAAGGAATTTTATATTATTTGTCTAAATGCCAAAAGATTAGTATATCAATATAAATGTATTAATATCTTTTTTATAGAAGAGAGGTTTCTCTGTTGACTGACATGTCATTTTACAGAAATGCAGAGACATCATTTGAATCAAGAATCTGATCCAAGAACAAATTCTACTACTTCATTAAAAAGGGCCCTAGGGAATTTTTTTAAAACATCTGGATGTTCATATCCTCTCCAAGACTTGGGGAGCCACAGAAATTAAAGCAAACAGGTAGAACAGAAGACCACAACACTGTGTGTGAATCTAGAAGAAAAAAAAAATCTTTGCATGTCTGATCATTTTTAAAAAATGGTACCTAGGAGTGCCTGGCTGGCTCAGTTGGTAGAGCATGCCACTCTTGATCTCAGGGTTGTGAGTTCAAGCTCCATGCTGGACATAGTGATTACTTACAAAACACAACCTAGGGGCACCTGGCTGGCTGGCTGGCTGGCATGTGAGTCTTGGTCTTGGGGTTGAGTTCAAGCCCCATGGTGGTCGTAGAGATTACTTACAGGCATAAATAAAAGTAAAAAGGAAAACTGATATCTAGTATTAAGCTTAGGTTGCATTTGTATCTGAAAGGCAAGTGGTCATTGCACTTCTCATTTATGACCCGTGGTCCTTAAATCAGCTGCAGCAGCAATAACAGTTATTTACAGGTGGCTTAGACTTCAACAGAAGTCAGATAAAGATTATAGACAGAAGGAAGAATGCTACCCCAGGGAAAATGGCCTCAGTGAAAGCATAAGGGTGATGCTAATTCACGATGTATGGCTGGAAAGCTTTATTGTGTTATATTAAAGAACTACTACCACACTCTGCAAATTAATGGAATAGTCACTTTGCATCTTTCATGTATTCATATTTGATAGAATACCTAAGTTTTCATGGAACCAAACCACTCCCTAAATAATGAAATAGTGAGTTCATTTTTTTTTTTTTTTTGTTTTAACTTTATGGGCTGTTATAACAACTAAAATATCTGAGTTAAAAATATAGGTCTTGGGGCACCTAGGTGGCTCAGTCAGTTAAGCGTCCAACTTCAGATTCTGTGTCTCCTTCTCTGTTCCTCTCCCACTCACACTCTGTATCTCTCTCTCTCTCTCAAAAATAAAGATTAAACATATATATTTTTTTAAATATATAGGTCTTGATATCTTTAGCAAGTAATATGTGTTACACTTTTACTATGAAGGGCTTATATGAGGTTTAAACAATATAATAAAGGTTTAAACAATAACTCAAGATCATTTAAAGTTATCTATTGGAAAAATATTGCTGAACTTAGTTAACTAAAACTCTAAGGACTTGAGACATTATCACTTAGAAATGAATATATGTGTTGAGTACAAAATTATATTTATTAATTAGCTAGATGCCTATTCCTCTGTTTAATTGTTAAAAATTACAAAAAAGGGGTGCCTGGGTAGTTGGGTTGGTTAAGTGTCCGACTTCAGCTCAAGTGATGATCTCATGGTTTGTGAGTTCAAGCCCCGCATCAAGCTCTGCACTGACAACACGGAGCCTGCTTGGGATTCTCTCTTTTTCTCTCTCTCTCCGCCTCTCCCCCAATCTCTCTCAGAATAAATGAACTTAAACATTTTTTTCAATTACAAAAAATAATTATTTGTCTATGTTGACCTGATTTTCGACTGGGAATAGTTCAATGATCTGAAACAGAGGTCATCAACAAAAAGGGTGAACGAAGGTGAACTCTGATGCAATTTTGACATGAAACAGCAGTTTGCTGTGTTGAGGCACCATGCCTTGCACATCTCTGGCTGCCTTCTCTGTTTATCAATTCTCCCTGAGAAAATTCTCTTCCATGGGTTCCACCACCAACAAAATTTTGACGACTGCCAAAACCCTTTCCCCTCATGATTTGATCCTAACTGTCAGGCCTATAATTCTACTTGTCTCCAGACATCTTCTCTTCTAGGCCTCATAGAGACTGAAACTTAGCAAGACTAAAGAAAGCATGAGAGGCAGGAATATTCCTTACTCCCCACAGAGCTGCCCCTCCTCTGTTCACGTCCACCTCTGCTTACAGGCCTCACCACTGCTGAAGGGGCTGGGCCAGAGATTTCAGAATCCCACTGGCTGGTTCCCTTCCCACCTTCAGATGTTATACTCTGCCCTATTGTTGACTTCTAAATAGCCCACTTGTGTCAACTCCACTGCTAGGGCATCTAACTCACTTCAGGTCCTCGCCTGTAACTGGTTCTTACCTTATAAAACAAATCCAATCAAGGAACCCATTCCCTTGTCTTGGCACACCTCCTGCAGTAGTTCTCAAATTATGCTTCGCTGGAACTTTGGTGATGAAATTAATGTGTAGAATTTTTTTTTTAATCGATTTTAAGTTTTCCTCCATGAAATTTTCTCAAGCACCTAAAGTACTACCTTTTATCTGATAGTGTATGCTACCAACAGTGAAATAAATGAACATTTAGTGAGAGGCAAAATCAGAAAAACTCTGATATGTCTGTATCAATGGCTCTTTGTACAAATATGCACACAACCGGGATTTTTATATTGACTCCTTCTAATTATTAAGTTTCTATTAAGAAAATTGCTTCTAGTTTCAAAATGGAAGGCAACGTATCCCTATTCTACAATGTGAACATTGTGGCTTCAAGGTGCTCTACACTAACATTGAGTTTCAGAACCACTTACCTCCTCAACAAGTTTAAACTTTGTTCTCATAATCAAGACTGCCAGAATTACTCTACTTTTCCATTATCATCTGTGACTGTTATAATATATCCTTATAAGCCACTTGCCCTAATCTTAAGTATATCTTGATCTGTTATGCCTTCTTGCCTCAGTCCACATTAGTTTATCTGATAGGAATTTTAATGTTTTTAATTTTTAATTTTTATTTTTTGAAGGAGAGAGAGACAGAGCATGGGGGGGGGGTGGGGAGGAGCAGAGTGAGAGGGAGACACAGAATTTGAAGCAGGCTCCAGGCTCTAAGCTGTCAGCACAGAGCCTGATGCGGGGCTTGAACTCACAAACTGTGAGATCATGACCTGAGCTGAAGTCAGATGCTTAACCGGCTGAGCCACCCAGGTGCCCCCTGATAGGAATTTTATTTGTACCTCTCTGCTTAACAAATTCCATCTTTTGCCCACTCCTCTGTTGATCTTCTCAAGCAGCTGCTTTGTCCTCCATATTTCTACACTTTAAAACGTACCACAGGGATAATTATGATATATGAAGCAACTATTTATATACAAGCGCACTAATTTATTTATTGATATCTGCCACAGTGATTTCAGTTTTTCTTCCCTTATCTCCTTCATATTTCCTATTCATTTCTTCATCAATTACTTTCTGATTACCTAACACGTGCAAGATCCTATGCTAGAAACTGCACATTCAGAAGTCACTAAAACAAACAAATATCCTATGTTCCAGCAGGTTAGAAGTAAACTATATAGAAGTAAACTATATATATTATTATAATAGAAAAAACAAAACAGAACAAAAAAAAAAAATAAAGCAAAGCAAATTCTGGAAGAAAGACTTATAACTATCTTAAATGTGGCCATAAAAACTGGTATCTGAATAAAGCCCTGGGGGAGATTGAGCCATGTGGATATTTGGGGGAAAAGTGTTTCCAGGCATAGAAAGGGCAAATGTACAGACCCAAAGGTTGCAACCCAGCATATAGTCTTATGGTTGATATCAGTTTAGATAACCCCAGAAGACACCGAGGCAGGGTGTCTTGGGAGATGGCAGGGTAGTAATGATGAAACCTCAGGCAAGAGCCAAGCAGCAATAGCTTACTCACCCTGCAATTTTCTCCTGTCGACTTGGCATTTTGGCAACTTGCTCAGCAGAGACAGTCCAACTTGGGAACAAGTAAGCTCCCTGTATCTTATGTACCACGTAATAGATGCATTCTTGATAAAAAGCCAAGGATATGGGCAAAAGTATAACTTCTCTGGTTTCATACCCTTATAGTATGATCCAAAAATCTCTTCCCCAAAGTTTGTACTGCTTGTCTTTCAGTCTGTTTATTAATTCACTCAAGCATCATTTATCCAAATCCCATTTAAGTGCTCACACAGACCAATACCCATTGCAAGGACTATTTTAAAGCTGTTCTGGGATCCCTTCCAATTAGTTGTTCCACATGTGCCCAAACACATTTAGATTTGTGACTCTATGTAATAATCAGTACCTATTTTTACATGTTTATTTCCAGTATATACAAGCCATTCATAAACCTCATCACTGATGCAGAGTGTGTCATATTTGATGCAAAGGTCAGCAATTACTTGGAGTTCTTCTTTGGTATATACCTATATGTATTAAAGAAAACAAAAGAGCAGAGCCAATTATGATTCAACATGTGAGACAATGATAGGTCAGAAGACTGTATAAAGAGATCAAAGACTCACCTTGCCAATGGGGTTATGTGGAGTATTCAGTATAATCGCTTTGGTTTTGGAGTTAAACTTACTTGCCAGTTCTTGAGGATCCAATGTCCAGTCAGAACTAGACCATTTTTTCCCATCGACAGGTTTCTACATATGAAGAATCAAGATGTGATTTAATCCAATTAATTCATGTTTGCTGTCTTACAAATAAATAACCTAATGGCACAGGGTGGCGGGGCAGAGTAGAGAAAGGCATGGCAAAGGTAACTGAATAAACGACTAACAAAGAAAATAGAAATAACTAAGCTTTCATTCTGCCTAAGAGCCCAAGAGGACTTAAGTCTCATGCTCACACCTAGTAAATGGGAAAATAAACTCTGTCAACATAAACAGCTGTTAAAGTATGTACATGCCTTCAAAGGAGTCAGCTATAACTATGGTTAACATGTCTGAGACTGTAAGGCTAATACAAGATTCTGTGATTCACCTTAGTGTATTACTTATTATAGTAAGATGTTTAAAAAAGACAATAGTAGCATACTTTATTAAATTCCTTAGTAGCAAAAGTAAAAAAAAATAATTCATTCATAATTCCGAGATCAGACGAGATCGGGCACATTCAGGGTGGTTTGTCCTTAGACAATTCATTCATAATTCAACAAGCATTTATAAAGCACCCAGCCTATACCCTACACTGTTAGTCACTAGGGAGCAGGGCTACAAAAGTGAGTTAGAAATGGTCTCTGGGGTGCCTGGCTGGCTCAGTCGGGTGGAGTGTGCAATTCTTCATCTCAGAGTTGCAGGTTCGAGCCCCATGTTGGGTGCATATCACTTAAAAATAAAATCTTTAAAAAAAAAAAAAAAAAGAGGGGTGCCTGGGTGGCTGAGTTGGTTGAGCATCTATTTTACTCTTGATTTCAGCTCAGGTCTTGATCTCAACGGTTCATGGGTTCGAGCCCCACATCGGATTCTGTGCTGACAGTGTGGAGCCTGCTTGGGAGTCTCTCTCTCTCTCTCTCTCTCTCTCTCTCTCTGCCCCTCCCCTACTCCTGCATGCTCTCTCTCAAAATAAATAAACATTAAAAATGAGAAAAAAAAAAAAGAATTGGTCTCTGATCTGGTGGTGTTCATAGTTTATGGGGGAGACACATAACCACAAAAGAATGTTACATATAGTGTGGATATTGATACAACAGAGACACATGGCAAACACAGGATAAAGCAATAACAGCTGCCCTCTTAAAGATGTTGATTACCTTCAGCCATTGTAGAGATACACAGTAAATCCCAAAATGTAATAAAAGTAGAAACTTCATCAGTGACAAAGCAATTCTGTATATTTTCAAAGCATCTTAAAGTATATGTATCGCATTGGCAAACTTACAGGTCTTAAGGGAATAAAAACAGGTGTTGCTCCAGCCATTCTCACCATGGGCTCATAGCAGTCATAGAAAGGTACTATTACTATGACCTAAAATAAAAACCAAATAAGAATGTAACATATCAATCATTCATTCATTTAAAATATATTGTGTACCTCCTATGTGTGAGGTGCTGTCCTACATACTGAAATGCAGCAATGAAAAAACTGGCCTTCCTTGCCTTCATGCCTGCCTCTTCGTGGGAGAGGACATGGAAGAGACGTTAGAGACAGATGTGTCCAGGGAGTTCCGGCTCTCTTAATGAGATCCACAGAAGGGCTTACAGTGGGGATTCTTGAAATTATATGCAAGACTTTACATGTGCCTAGGTAGATTTTTCTGGGGAAAGAGGCCATAATTCCCATCACATCCTCCAAAGAATGTTCCAGCCAAAAACATGAAGAATTTCTTTAAGTTTTAAATGACAAACAAACAAAAAAATCAGAGAGGGGCAGAAACAAAAGACTCTGAGGAAAGATAACAGCAATGCTCTCCATTATGGAGAACTAATTTATAAGTATTATCCTGAGAATAAAGATGTTTCTCTTTGGTCAAAAGCACTCCAAAACAAATAGTGGACACAGGGAGACGAGTTAAGATGCTACTGTTATTGTCTGATACCCTCAGTTTCCCTCTGGTGACTTATACCTAGCTAGATTCAGTCTTTTTTCCCAATCTCTTGAGATATATTCCTTGTTCCTTTGCCCCTACATGCTCTCTCTCTCAGTCACCCGTGGGCTGGCTTTTAGGTCAGTGGGCCAATCCAACCAGTCCCTTTGGTATTCCACCCAGAGTCCACCAGCTTGGATCTAAGTAAGCATCCCTGATTTTTTACTTTTCTGTAAGGAAAGTCTGAACACATAATTTATATCTTTCATGTATATTCAATTTTTATTATCTTTTTAAACCTAACAATATTACATGAAAACTTCATATTATTACAGTTTTAATATTTATTATCTTTTAAGGAATTTTTTTTGATGTTTATTTACTTTTGAGAGAGATAGAGGCAGTGCAAGAGGGGAAGGGCCAGGGCCGGAGGGAGAGGGAGACACAGAATCTGAAGCAGGTCCAGGGTCTGAGCTGTCAGCACAGAGCCTGATGTGGGGCTTGAACTCACGGACCAGGAGATCATGACCTGAGCCGAAGTTGGACACTTAACTGACTGAGCCACCCAGGTGCCAACCCCCACCCCCCGCTGTTTGTTTGTTTTTTTTTAATATTTATTAGCTTAATGGCTATTTGGGAGTCTACTGAATTCTAAAATAAGTTTTAATCGTTTGCTTGTATACATAACAATGCTATATTTATTTGTGAGTATGTGTAGTTTCTCTATTTTTAAAAAATGTTTATTTATTTTGAGAGAGAGAGAGAAAAAGTGCAGAGAGAGGCAGAGAGAGGGAGAGAGAGAATCCCAAGCAGGGTCCACACTCAGTGCAATGTGGGGCTCAATCCCACAACTGTGAGACCACGACCTGCACCAAAATCAAAAGTCAGATGCTTAATTGACAGAGCCACCCAGGTGCCCCTGTAGTTTCTCTATTTTTAAACGGTTGAATAAATTCACATGATTGTTATTTTGCTAGATCAAAGAGTTGAAACATTTTTAGGGCACATTATACATACATACAGTCAAATTGCTTTAGGAAATTGGATAACTATAATTTCCTAAGTCAACACTAAGTTGTCTCACTTAACTTTCATTGGCTAAATTAGTGATATCTAACTGTTGCTCCAAATTTTTTTTTAATGTTTATTTATTTTTGAGAGAGAGACAGAGACAGAGACAGAGTGTGAATGGGGGAAGGGGCAAAGAGAGAGGGAGACACAGAATTTAAAGCAGGCTCCAGGCTCTGAGCTGTCAGCACAGAGCTTGATGTGGGGCTCAAACCCACAAACTGTGAGACAATGACCTGAGCCAAAGTTGGACGCTTAACCAACTGAACCACCCAGGCACACCACTAACTCTTGTTCTAAATTTGCACATTTAATGTGTATTTCATATGATGTGAAGTAACTCTTCAAGGCCTTTCTCACTAAAGTCACATAAGGCTGTTACATTCTAAAGCCCCTTCGTTTCTACTAGTCATTCAACTCACATTGAGTACCTACTATACAATCTGCTATGTTAGGTGTTAGGTAATGGGAAGTACAAAGAAATGAACTTTGTTTGTTCCCTCTGGGAATGGATCTTTCCCTCAAGGGAACTGTAAGCTCTTAATCAGTCTGTGAAATTCTCAGGGACCAAGATGACCTATCTTTGAACCCTAGTGAGAAACCTAGTACCTGATTTGAAGTGAGATATAAAAGAAAACTGGGAGGAAGGGAGGTAAAATTGAAAGAATATACTTGATATTCTTTGCTGTAATTTCTTTATTTTTATGATGGGAATAATTCCCCTCACTTTCTGAAGAGTATTTATTGAGCACTCAGTATTTTAGGGACTGGCAGTATAGCAATAAACTTTCTACTGTGAGAGACCATAAACAAGAAAAAAACAGAAGTAAATTAGATAATTTCAGATAATAACAAATACTATAAAGAAAATAAAACAGGTCAATGTGACAGAAAGTGACACGTGTGTGATTTCAAAATATCAGATACAGTGATCAGGGAAGAAAGAATAAAGAAGGTCAAGGGCTGAGCCTCTGGGATGCAAAAAGAGGAAGCAACAAAGGATTAACAACATCAAAGAATGAGATAAAACTTTCAACTATTTTACAGGATTAAAGGAGATTATGTATATGAAAGTGTAACTGCACTTCCTTAAGATGTTTCCTTAAGTAGCTTATTGTCTGGCATAACACAGAGAATTAGAGATGTAAAAGAGGAACATAATACAATGTAGTAGCAGTATCTTTTATGTAAGAGGTACAGAGAGTGCCATGAGAGTTCAAAGAAAGGAATTAACAACATAGATCATGGTAAATATTCAGCAGTGCCTCTCTGGAGTTTCCCAGGCCTACATTAGCAGAGTCAATCACTTCTTTCTGTCACTACTGTAACATACACACACATTCTTATTCACCTGCTTGCGAGTCTATCTCCTCTACTAGATGGGGAACTCCTTCCACACAGAAACTGTCTTTTAAATTTAAAAAAAAAAAATTTTTTTTTCAACGTTTTATTTATTTTTTTTGGGACAGAGAGAGACAGAGCATGAACGGGGGAGGGGCAGAGAGAGAGGGAGACCCAGAATCGGAAACAGGCTCCAGGCTCTGAGCCATCAGCCCAGAGCCTGACGCGGGGCTCGAACTCATAGACCGCGAGATCGTGACCTGGCTGAAGTCAGACGCTTAACCGACTGCGCCACCTAGGCGCCCCTAAATTTTTTTTTTTTAACGTTTATTTATTTTTGAGACAGAGCATGAACGGGGGAGGATCAGAAAGAGGGAGACACAGAATCTGAAACAGGCTCCAGGCTCTGAGCTGTCAGCACAGAGTCCAACGCGAGGCTCGAACTCATGGACCGCGAAATCATGACCTGAGCCGAAGTCGGCCACTTAACCGACTGAGCCACCCAGGCGCCCCAGAAACTGTCTTTTAAAAATCTCCCATAGTGCCTACTATGGGAGATCCTCAGTGATTTCTGAATGAATGAAAGAGGTCAGGAAATACTGAAGCAGGCGTATTGGAATGATAATGGGGAAAGAGTCCCAGTACTAAAGCAGAAATCACTCAACCTTCTTGTTACACATCCCTCACATGCTGCTGCTAACAGTGCCAGGCACAAAAACACACTGATGAAATACTGGCTGACTGAGTTCAGATAAGGATAATTTTAGTAGTGCAAACTAAAGATTCATTTTCCCCATCATGGTTGGCCCCTTCCACTTACCCTTCTCTAGATAGGCTATAGAAATAAGAATGAGTCACATGCAGCAAAACAGATGAATCTCACAGACATAATGATAAATGAGAGAAGCCAATTCAAGAACATACTGTGTGATTCCATTTATACTACATTAAAGAGCAGGTAAAATGAGCCTATGGTGATAGAAGACAGAAGAGTGGTTACCTCTGGGAGAATATTAACTAGGAAGAGGCATCCTTCTGGGTGCCGGGAATGTATTATATCTTCATCTGGCTGGGGTTACATGGATATATGGATATATGTAAATATACACACGGGTAAAAAATTTATCAAGCTGTACACTTAAGACCTGTGAATTTTACTCATATGCATTATACTTCAAAAATAATTAAAAATAGTGTAAAATAAGTAACAGATTCAAAGGCAATACAAATGATAATAATGATTGCTATGGGTAAGATGATAATCTTAATATACTTACTTCATCTCCCTCATCAATTAATCCTTGAATGGTATTAAAAAGAGATCCATATGCTCCTACTGTCACAAGGATTTCTTTATTTGGATTGATTTGCTTTTGATAAATTTTTTCATATAAGCAGGATAGAGCTTTCACAAGCGATGGATGACCCTGTTGAATAAAAAAGAAAAAACCTTGAATTTGATTATGGGATCTACTTCTTGGAAGCAATCTGGATTTAAAATGAAAGAATTTTTAAAATTTCGGTTTTTTGTTTATAATTATCCAAATAAAATTTTTATTTTTTTAATGAAAATAAAAAACATTTTTTTCTCTACTCACAGACAGTTCCTACATGAATGGTCATGAAAACTTGCTAATGACTAAAAATCCCCATTAAATGATTGGTTTGGAATTCAAAATTCCAACATGTTTGCTTTGATAAAAATTGACATCAATACCAAATATACCTTTGACAGTACCTTTTTGGACAGACATGAAATCATATCGAACTACTTTATTTTTGACAGTAATTAAATTATACTGAATAGAGTTGGACTTTTTTGCAATTAAAATTAAAAAGCCTGCATTGACAGTATATACCCTGAATCTGTTCTTCCAGGTTACCAAAGAGTAAGTTATTATGCCAATCAATGGATGACAGAGTGAGGGCAAACACAAATTCCCCAAAGAAACACGCATTAGTGCTGACGTGAGAGCTAATGTTAGGAGGAAGCAGGACATTCTTCATGACAGCCAAGAGGGGAGGAGTCATATAAGAGAACAACCTTCACCAGAGGAACGAAGGGACTATAAATGCACAAAGTCGGAGACATGCGGGGAGTCTTAACTCCTTGATTAGTGCTTCCTCAATTCTCTCGTTCTATGTTCCCTGTTCTTCCCTCTTTCTCTTTTATTTCCCTTCCCATTCCCCTTCTTTGTCTATCTGGTATCAAAGTCACTATTACTTATTTTTTCTTGTGTAGCATGTACCTCTTGTTTTTGCTTTTGGAGAATGACCTTGATTTTCTGTCAGTTCCAAATAAGAGTCTAAGTGCAGGGCAAGTGCCTTTGTTTGCAAAGCACCTAGAGCTCTGGAGGAATAAACTGGGTCAGGACACAGGACAAGATGGAGGTTGGCAGGATATACCCCATGTTTATGAAGTACAGTAGCCTTTGGTCATCCTAAGTTATCCATCCCAGTTCATGTGAAAAGGAGGCTCTTTTTTCAAAGATACTTTTATTTGTCACCTTTGTCAGAATGTTAGCTAGTATGTCACAGACCCCCACACAGTTAAAACCAATAAAAACAAAGCTATAGCACATTTCTCATATTTTGAGATGAGAGATATTACAATATTAGAGAAATTAAGTATAATTAATAATAGGGGAGGTGATAGAACAAAGCCACTAAACTAAAAAATAATAGCAAGAGAAAAGACTACTTAAATTCAAGCTCAAAAAAATATACATGATTTGTGGAAAGAGCAGGAGAAGATTGTCACTACTTCCAGAAATCCAAAATTCCCTTTGAATTTCATTTTAATAACAGGTCTAACAAACTCTAGCAAAGGGTGATCTGAAAGCAACTATAAACACTACACATCTTACCTCAGAATTATAAGGGTCTGTGTCTTAAAGAAATTTTTACTTATAAAAATAAAGTATGCTTCATATAATATTTAAAACTAGGCAGAGATGTGTAAAAAAAAAAAATTACGTTCTCTCCTCAACAACCTTCCATCTCGTCTCCCTGAGGTGACCAATGTCGTCCACGGCCTGGTGACAGTGCAACACCATTCCCTGTGCTTATACTAACATACAAACACATATACATACATACTCACATATATTTATAAAACCTGAAAAATATTTAAAGAATGGGCATGGTTATGATCTAATAAAACATTATTTATACAAAATCAGGAGTGAGTCAGATACGGATCAAGGCCATAGGCTGCCGAACTCTACTATGGATCAACTTAGAGAGAACTGACAACAATATTCCGTCTCCCAGTCTGTTGAATATCACATTATGACTCCATTTATATAGGTCTTCTTTAATGTCTCTCAGCAATGTTTTGTAGTTTTCAGCACACAGATCTTGTGTATATTTTAAAACATCAGTCCAAATATTTAACGCTTTGGGATGGGATGCTATTATAAATGATATTTCAAAAAATCTTAACCAGCTGCTCATTTTTAGTATACAGAAATACAATTGATTTTTATCTATTGGCCTTATACCCTGAAACCTTGCTCAATTCACTTACTACGTTGTGGCACTTTTTTTGTAGAATCTAGGAATCTTTGGATATCCTAAGTATTTCATCACAGAAGGATAGGGATTGATAGACAGGTAAAGAGGAGGAAAGTAACTAATTGGAAAAAGAGGTTATTAATTAAGAGGCCAGTGCTGATGGCCTAATAACTGCATGTGTTAATGGCAGAGAAAATATGTGCATTGAGAGAATATTCTCTGCAAATTGGTATAGTCACTGTGGAAGACAGCATAGAGGTTCCTCAAAAAATTAAAAATAGAATTGTAAATGCAAATCAAAACCGCAATGAAATATCACCTTATAGCTGTCAGAATGGCAAAAATAAAAAACTCAAGAAACAACAAGTGTTGGCAAGGAGGTGAAGAAAGGAAGTTCTAGCACTAGTGGTGTGAATGCCAATTGGTACAGCCACTGTGGAACAGTACAGAGCTTCCTCAGAAAATTAAACAGAGTTACCATATGATCCAGTAATTCCACTGGATACTTACCCAATAAATTTGAAAACACTAATTTGAAAAGATATATGCACCCCTATATTAACAGCAGCACTATTTACAATAGCCAAACTATGGAAGCAGCCCAAGTGTCCATCAATAGAATGAATGGAAAAAGAAGAGTTGGTATAAATATATACAATGGGGGGTGCCTGGGTGGTTCAGTCGATTTAGTGGCCGACTTTGGCTCAGGTCATGATCTCGCGGTCCATGAGTTCGAGCCCCACGTCGGGCTCTGTGCTGACAGCTCAGAGCCTGGAGCCTGTTTCAGATTCTGTGTCTCCCTTTCTCTGACCCTCCCCCGTTCATGCTCTGTCTCTCTCTGTCTCAAAAATAAATAAACGTTAAAGAAAAAAATTTAAATATATACAATGGAATATTACTCAGCCATAACAAAGAATGAAATCTTGCTATTTGCAACAACATGGATGGAGCTAGAGTATAATGCTAAACGAAAGAAGACAGCTAGAGAAAGACAAATACCTTATGATTGCACTAACATGTGGAATTTAAGAAACAAAACAAAGGGAAAAAAAGAGAGAGGGACAGAGACAAACCAAAAACCATACTCTTAACTATAGAGAACAAACTAATCTGTTAGCAGAGGGGAGATGAGTAGGAGGACAAGTGAATAGGTTATAGAGACTAAGAGTATATGTACCATGATGAGCACTGAGTAATGTACAGAATTGCTGAATCGCTATACTGTATACCTGAAACTAACATAACACTGAATGTTAACTCCACTGCAATTAAGAAAAAAAACTGCGGAAAAAAAAGAATATTCTCTCTTCCTTGTTGCCATTAGACCCTATGCTGGAACAATGGTAAAGGACTATGGAGGCATTAGAAGTTGGGGGTGGCTCCTTCTAGGAGATAAGGGCAAGGATGGGGGTTTCTCTGATTATCTGTTTGGGACAGTTGGCCCCAGAAAGCCAATTACACAGAACTGATAGAAGTTCACTTCACATTTCACACACAATACAATATAAAATACAAGTTCATGTCACACATGGTCTTAATATACTTACAAAGCCTCGTGTATACTGGTTCAGGCTATCGATTGCTGCAATCTTTGATAATTCTTCCTTTACATATACAGGAGGGGATATATCTGGAAGGCCTTGGCCAAGATTCACAACAGAGGGGTCTGCGGCCAACTTGGTAAATTCAATCCTAAAATTAAAAAATACTAATGAGTACCATAATTACAAAGTTAGATTTTTATGCCTCATAATCTTTTTACTTTTTATAAAATGTTATTCATTTACTTTGAGAGAGAAAGAGAGACAGCATGAGTGGACGAGGAGAAGAGAAAGAGGAAGATAGAAAATCCAAAGCAGGCTCAGCACTGTCAGCACAGAGCCCGACACGTGGCTCGAACTCATGAAACTATGAGATCATGACCTGAGCTGAAACCCAGTGTTGGATGCTTAACCGAATGAGCCACCCAGGCATCCCTTATACCTCATAATCTTAACATTAAAACTGAAAAACTAAGACCTACTTTAGTCTTACAAATAAAAAAAAAAAAAATGAGTTCCCCCCAAAATTTTACCACCTACAAAATGACTTTACCTAATAAGATGATAGCTGAATTAATTAACTTAAAAATTTCTTACAAATCTCAATTCCATGATACCGACAGTTCCATCATCTATTTTTTTTCCTCAACCACACCAGCAGCTGCTAGCTAATGGACTACAAATTAAGTGCCATGTGGGCATCATCCAAATTTGTTCTTTTTTCTATTTGCAGGCTTAACACATGTGCTAAATGAATAAATCAGTGTATGGATCCTTAACTTCCTTACGATTCCACTTAATGAATAAATTAAAATAAGTGCTTTTATTTGTAGACTGTAGATGAGGCTAAAAATTCCCAATATAGGTGAGTATATAAAATGTATAGGAAAAAAAACTTCACCAAATTATTATTGTTTACTCTGAGGTACTCACCACACATTACTATCAAGGCCTTCAATTCGTTTTGCATTGGTGATTTTCAAAGACATTTTCTGAAAGATATAAATATTGAAAGTGTTTTTAAATTTCTTTAATAAAAATTCAAGGGGCGCCTGGGTGGTTCAGTCAGTTGAGCATCCGACTTCAGTTCCAGTCATGATCTCATGGTTCCTGAGTTCGAGCTCCACAATGGGCTCTCTGCTATCATCGCAGAGTCTGCTTGGGATCCTCTGTCTCCCTCTCTTTCTGTCTCTTTCCCACCTGCGCATGCTCTCTCTCTGTCTCTCTCTCAAAAATAAGTAAAACATTTAAAACATTTTCAAAAAGTCAGAAAATCATGGGTAACTACCTTTTTCCTATTGTCATCACAGAAAAAGCAGTACCACAATGACAAATGCTATGTGTAGCATTTGTCAATACAAAATTCTGAAGAGGAAGTCCTCTCCCACCTACTGCCCCAAGGAATGCTTTTTCTAAGGAACCATAGATGTTTATCTTCTCACATAAGATCAAAAATATCATCCCAGCCTAAAAAACATAAACTGATTTGAAGGCCTGAAATGTACTAAAGAGAACAATAATGATACTAAAAAAAAAAGTCAGTTTAAAAAAATACCTTGAGTCATTCTCTGAAGATCATTTTAGGTAAGATGTAATGAACAGCTCCACAAGTAAGTTTCTTGTATTGCATACAAGAAGCACTCAACAAATGGTTTTAAAACTCAATACAGAGCTCCAAATAGTAATAGCTCACATCACTTTTTAAATTTTATTTTTTATTTTTTAAAATTTACATCCAAATTAGTTAGCATATAGTGAAACAATGATTTCAGGAGTAGATTCCCTAATGCCCCTTACCCATTTAGCCCACACCCCCCCTGCCACACACAACCCCTTCAGTAACCCTCAGTTTGTTCTCCATATTTGTGAGTCTCTTCTATTTTGTCCCCCTCCCTGTTTTTATATTATTTTTGTTTCCTTTTCCTTATGTTCATCTGTTTTGTTTCTTAAAGTGCTCATATGAGTGAAATCATATGATTTTTGTCTTTCTCTGACTAATTTCACTTACATAATACCCTCCAGTTCAATCCACATAGTTGCAAATGGCAAGATTTCATTCTTTTTGATTGCCGAGTAATACTCCATTGTGTGAAATCATATGATTTTTGTCTTTCTCTGACTAATTTCACTCAGCATAATACCCTCCAGTTCCATCCACGTAGTTGCAAATGGTAAGATTTCATTCTTTTTGATTGCCGAGTAATACTCCATTGTGTATACCACATTTTCTTTATCCATTTATCCATTGATGGACATTTGGGCTCTTTCCATACTTTGGCTATTGTTGATAGTCACATTATTTTTTTTTAATTTTTTTATGTTTATCTATTTTTGAGAGTGAGAGAGACAGAGCATGAATGGGAGAGGGGCAGAGAGAAAAGGAGACACAGAATCCGATGCAGGCTCCAGGCTCTGAGCTGTCAGCATAGAGCCTGATGCGGGGCTCCAACTCTCAGACTGCGAGATCATGACCTGAGCCAAAGTTGGCCGCCTAACTGACTGAGCCACCCAGGTGCCCCAATAGTTCACATTATTGAGTACTGAGTACATACCAGGTACTGTTCTAAGTGTTTTACATATTTAACTCATATACAATTCACAACAACTCTATGTGGTAGTTCTTATCAGCCATCATTTACATTGGAGTAAAGTGAGGTACAGAGGATAAAGTTACAGAACTTTACTTATCTGACCAAGTTTATAAAAGCTAGTATAACATTTTAACCCACACAGATTCTTTTTTTTTTTAATTTATTTTACCTATTTATTTTGAGAGAGACAGAGGGAGTGCAAGTGGGTAGAGGCAGAGAGAGAGAGAGAAAATTCCAAGCAGACTCTGCACAGTCAGCACAGAGCCTGATGCGAGGCTTGAACTCATAAAACTGTGAGATCATGACCTGAGCTGAAATCAAGAGTTGGAGGCTTAACCCACTCAGTCACCCAGGCGCTCCAAAACCCAAACAGATTCAACTCAGGATTTGAACCCAGGCGGTTTGACTCCAGAGCACATACTCAGACCTATTTCTATATATTGTCTTTTATGTAAAAAGACCTTTCAAAAAATAGTACAAGAATACTGCCTCCTAAAAAAAGTATATTATAAATTTAGATCAAGTCTGAAGTGCCTGGGTGGCTTAGTCGGTTAAGAGTCCAACTTCAGCTCAGGTCATGATTTCGCGGTTTGTGGGTTCAAGCCCCATGTTTGGTTCTGTGCTGACAGCATGAGGCCTGGAGCCTGCTTTAGATTTTGTCTCTCTCATATTAAAAGTTAAAATTGATGGTATAACATACAATTTCTTAGTTCTCTAGGTTTTAAAATTAAGTTTATACTATATTCCCAAAGCACTGAATTAGCCTTGAATTCACTGTTAACAAGCTGCTGGGGGAAAAATAAAAATGATTGGCAGCATTTTTAACAAAGATTTTCCTAATAGAATATTAAAGTAATTTTAATTCAATCAGGGAGGAAGATAATGATAACGGTTACTAAATAGACCATTGTGCATTCCAACAATGGAACCCAGAAAAATATCTTTTTACTCTTCTATTTTTTAATCTTTGAAACTCCAGTGACGTAAATCACATGCAAATTCTCCAGAGGCTAATGCACCTTCCAGAATAGCTTTATGATTAAGTACCCACCTTAACATGATGCTATTCTAGAAACTACAATTATAAAACAAAAAGTCCTAGCATGATAGACAGAAAAAGATATTTTAACAACTGTCCTTAGAAACAACATTTCTAAAAAAATGTTTAAAACTTAATGATTCATTCAGCATGTGTCTACACACACAAAGGACAGATTCATATATTAAAAAAGTGAGCAAAGTCTGCAGCAGATAATTTAGACATAAAGTCCAATTTTCCTTATTTAGGTAACTGAAGGCAGATCACATATCCAGATTTAATTTTAAAATTTGTGTTCAGAACAGCCTCTTCTCTCACCACTTCCCTGCTTCTGCTTTGTCCCACCCCGATACCCCAACCATTCTAATGGTATAGAAATAGTCATAGTATATAAATCAGTCATAGTATAGAAATTAGTAACTCTTGGATCTGATACATGACATAACTAGCAAAGCACAGATAGGATCAGTCATCATGGCTACTGAAAATCTTTGCAAATAGAAACAGATGTTTACTGGGGCGCCTGGGTGGCGCAGTCGGTTAAGCATC